ATATCAGGATAGCTATGCCTGCTTGCTTCTTATTTCCATTTGATTGGAAAATCTTTTCCCAACCCTTTACCCTGAGGTAATGTCTATCTTTGGAGCTAAGATGTGTTTCTTGTATGCAGCAGAAGGATGGATTCGGTCTTCGTATCCATTCTGTTAGCCTGTGTCTTTTTATAGGTGAGTTAAGACCATTAATGTTGAGGGTGAGTAAGGTCCATTGATTGTTGATGCTTGTTTGGTTTAGGTTTGTTGTTGGCAGTGGTATTGTGAATATATTTCTTCTGCTTCACCCTAGGTTTCTGGTGTAGTTGGATTATCTGTTGCCTACATTTTTGTGGGCGTAGTTACCTTCCTTGGGTTGGAATTTTCCTTCCAATACTTTCTGTAGGGCTGGATTTGTAGATACATATTGGGAAAATCTGGTTTTGTCATTGAATATCTTGTTCTCTCCATCTATATTGACTGGGAGTTTTGCTGGATATAGTAGACTAGGCTGGCATCCGTGTTCTCTTAATACTTTTAGAACATCTATCCAGGACCTTCTGGCCTTGAGGGTTTCCATGGAGAAGTCAGGTGTAATTTTGATAGGTCTGCCTTTATATGTTACCTGTCCTTTTTCCTTCGCTGCTCTTAATATTCTTTCTTTATTCTGTATGCTAGGTGTTTTGATTATTATATGTCGAGGGGTCTTTTTTCTTTGGTCCAGCCTATTTGGGGTTCGGTATGCATCTTGTACTTTCATGGGCATGTCCTTCTTCAGATTTGGAAAGTTTTCCTCGATGATATTGTTGAATATGTTTTCAGCACCTTTGAGCTGGGCTTCCTCACCTTCCTCTGTGCCTATTATTTTTAGGTTTGGCCTTTTCATGGTGTCCCACATTTCCTGGATGTTGTGTGTTAAGGTTTTGTTAGATTTATGGTTTTCTTTGGTCGATGAATCTATTTCTTCTAGTTTATCTTCTGCGCCTGAGATTCTCTCTTCCATCTCTTGAATTCTATTGATTATGCTTGTGTCCGTGGTTTCCGATTTTTTGCCCAGCTTTTCAATTTCCAGCTTTCCTTCCATTTGTGTTGCCTTTATTTTCTCAATTTCGGTTTTCAATTCTTGAACCGTTTCCTTCACCTGGTTAATTGTTTTTTCTTGGCTTTCTGTACTTTCCTTAAGGAATTTGTTTATTTCTTCCTCTTTTTTGTTTGTTTTTTTCCTCCATTTCTTTAAGGGATTTTCTCATATCTTCTTTGAGTGTCTCTATCATTTTTATGATGGTGATTTTTAAGTCGTACCCTTCTGCTTCCTCTGCTTTGTTGTTGTGTTCCATTCTAGTTGGTGTAGATTCCCTAGATTCTGGTGGTGTCATGTTTGTCTTTCTGTTGTTAGGTGTTCTCTTGTATTGCCTTCTTCCCATAGTTTCTTCCAGTAGGTGTTGGTGGTGTCTCTTCCCTCTCTCTATGGTCCTTCCCCGATGGGCTTATATGGATCAAAGATTCAATGTCTGTAGTTCTGTGTGGTCCAAGCTCTCTAGGAGGTTTCTCAGCAGACAGGGATCCAGGGATGGGGTCAAGGATGAGGATCCAGAAGAAGATGCCAGCAGGTACTCACAGTGGTCCTCTGGCCAATAGCTCTGGCCAATAGCTCTGGCCAATGACTGGCAGAAGAGGACGAGGGCTGAGCTTGAACTTGAGAAGGTTTTGCAGGGTAGTGGGATCTCACTGGAAACTGGTGCTCTCCAGCTGAGACCTCCTTCTTTGGCAGGGGTCCGGATTTGGGGGTCAAGGATCTTGCCCGCAGGAACTCCAAGTGGACCCGCAGAGATAGGCGGATCTCTGGGAGGGGCCCGGGACTCCAGCAGAGGACTGGAGGCGGGGTCAGAGACCAAGCTGGTGGAAATTACAGGTGGTCCTGCGGGGATAGTCAGGTCTCCTTTGTTTGGAGTTGCTCTGAGAGGTCTCTGAAGTAGGGTGGACTGTTGGCTCCACCCTCTGTCCCAGTGCTCAACCTGAGCAGCAGGACTGTAGGTGGGGTAGGGCACAGGGTAAGGGGGGCTATGCTGGAGGTTGGGATGGTTGGGGGTGTATCAGAGCTCCAAGGGTGCTCTCAATGGGGACCGGAGACAGGAGCAGCAGGATCAGGGGCCAATCCAGGGAGTTCAGGCGGGGGAGGGGGGAAAAGATGTTGAAGGGGAAAGGCAGCTCCAATTGGGCCCAGACTCACCTCTGGCCAATAGCTGGCAGAAGAGGACTAGGGCTGGGCTGGAACTTGAGAAGGTTTTGCAGGGTAGTGGGATCTCACTGGAAACTGGTGCTTTCCAGCTGAGACCTCCTTCTTTGGCAGGGGCCCGGATTTGGGGGTCAAGGATCTTGCCTGCAGGAACTCCCGTCTCTGTCATTTCTAGAGTTTATATGTTGTCCTTCTGTGGTTTTTGAAGGAGTTGAAGACAGATAGTTATGGTTGCAGTTTTCCTTAGTTAGGATTAAAGATAAGTTACATACAGGACTTTTGACTCACAAATATAGGATAGATGATGGAATTTTTTTTTTGAATTGTCAAGTTTTTTAATATATTTAAGATTCAGATACTCTGATACAATTTCCAGGTTTCTTTCAACTTTCTTAGTCACTGAAAGGAGGCATTTAAACAAATATTTATGATATAGGAAAATAATGATAACCCAGCTTCAAATATATGCTTTAACTTTTAAAATGTTTTGTTTTATCAAGCAATACACAATGCACATTGACACATAACAGCTTACACAGTTTGACATAAAACCTCAGAATATTGCTAATTGAGTCACTGTATTAAACCTTTTCAAGCCTTCCACAATTGATGTTAGCTTTAACTTTGCAATACACTCCAAAGGACATGCCTCCAGTGTTTTCTGTTTAGTATACAACAAAACAATTAGTTCATGATAGAATAAAAATACAATCAGATATTCATAATATGAAGGAGTTCTGTCCTTTTAATGTCAATAACCCTTTGCTATTTAGAATAACATGCAGTAAAGCAACTATTCCTCAGCAGGAAAGTAGACCCAAGAGCCATAACAAATTTGAATTTTACAGATTCCTAATAACAGTTAAACGTGTGAGAAATATACACTTTGGCTGGCAAATCAGCTTTATATGTGAAAATATTCTTCTACATGTGAGTAACTTTAGACCTTTGCTAGATAACTGAGTTAGTGATAAGGCAAAAAGAGTAAAAACTGAAAGCATACAGAAAACTTTTGATTGTGATGACCATCTGTGCTCTGGAATTCTTGTATTATATAAAACTGAAGCTGAAAAGAAAAAAATCTTTTGAATGGAACAATTAAAAAACACCATAACCAGCAAAAATGATCAAAAGCATTTTTTACAAAGTTTTTATAGGAAGAGCAAATAGTTAGCACATAGAGGGTATTTAGCCATGGGACTTTGAAAAATAAAAATAAAAACAAAACAAACAAACAAAAAACTAGCAAGCCACATTATCTTGAGGACAAGCCCTGCATTCTTACAATCTGTGCTTGGGCTCTGGGTGGGATGTAATTCAGTTGGTAAAGGTTGCACAAAGCTCTGGATTAGATCCTTTAGCACTGTATAAACAAGAACCAGACATGGTGGCACACAGCTCTTAGAGGGAGAGGAATGACTACCACAAGTTCAGCAATAATCTCAGATACACAAAGAGTTTGAAGCCACCCTAGAACAAATGATTCCCCATCTCAAAAAAGAAAAAAATCAAGCCTTTGATATAACTCAGCATTAAGAATGCTGCCTACCATAAGGGAAGCTGTAGGCTTAATCCCAAGTATTAGAATACAAGGGAAGAAAGAAAAAAGAATCTATGGGTTTGTCTGTCATTGGAAACGATACCATGACTCTGAAGGAGAGTAGAATGACACCTTTCATTGGGGAGCTGTATATGAGAAAATTTGTTACACTAGATTACAATGAAGGAATAGTAAAGTAAAAAGAGCTCTTTTTAATTCAAAGAATGGTAAAAAATAGTAATAACTTGTATTTATAATTTATATCTTAAATCCAATACTGTAATCAAAACACATCTATTATACATTCTTTCAACAAATAATCACAAAAAAAAATGTAGGCACTGAGTTCACAGAAGCAGGAGTCTTGTTCTGTGAGGAACACAGGAGAGCAATGCTCTCCTATGACAGGGGCCAGTGGAGCAGACAATGGAACATTCCCAATAGAACAGAGCATGGCAGGCCTCTTGACAGTAACAACAGTGAAGTGGACAAAGGATATAGAAAGTAGAAGGAATAAATAAAACAAGGGACACAGAGTATAGAATGAAATTATCAAGAAGGAAAATAAACTTATATTCAAAAACTGGTAACTTTAACATTTATCCTAAACCTGTAAGCTTAGATTGTCATCCAATCACTATTCACGCCACCCTCTTAAGCTGTGGCCCTCTCTCCCTTTCTCTGCATCTTTATGTCCATCACTAGTTTCACCAGCTCTGAGTACAAAGCACAGGAGTTCCAGCTGATAGCCTGATTCCCTTAATAATATAAAAACTCTCACAAAAATCAATGATCAGTGTCTTTTAAAATGATCCTAAGAATTAAGGTTTCATTAATAAGATATTTAAGTCTGTGATTCACCATCAAAATGCAGTTCCTAAGAAGACATAAAATACCAAATACCTCAAGATACCAGCGGTGTACTAGAACTGAAGCAGGACTGTGAAATAACAGAAACCAATTCACCCACCCTGCCCCACCTGACCTTCACATAGGTGAGGTGTCTTACTCTGTTCATTCCTTAAATCTGGTAAACACTGACAACCTAGGACATTCCAGGTGCTGTTCCACCTGATGAGAGGACAGTAAAAAAACAAGGACAAGGCCTCTGTTCTGAAGCTGCTCTAGTGCTGGCAGCAAGAGGCTGACAGGGAAAGGAAACACAGGGAAAGAAGAACAAGCAGGTATTGAGGGAGCCAAAGGCCAGGGACAGGGAAACAGGGACGGGGGGGGGGGGCAGGACTCTTACTTCTTTTTGTCTTTGTCCTTTTTAATACTGCTACCTGAAGCCAGAAATGACTGGCTCTGGAACAGATCACAGGTAGCCTTCTTCTTAGAGAAAGCAATTGATTCTTCCTCCAAAATTCTCCTCTTTTCTTCAAGTTTCATTCTCTCTTCCTGGTGAATTCTTTTAAGGTGCTCAAATTTGACCTGAAGCTCTCTTTCAGCTTCTTTCAAAATAGCTTCTTTCTCCTTTTCTCGCTGCACAAACATTTGCTTCATCTCTTCTTCCTTCCTCTGACATTCACCATAGAACTCATGTCTCTTGGCTTCATAAGTCTCTTGAAGACTCAGGGGCTTGTTCTCTGGGCCCACATCTGCAAACCCCATTCCCTCCAATTTGCAATGCCTGTAAAGCTCGCAGTGCCTCATATGGGTCTGCTCCTGCAGATCCTCCATGTTTGTACAAATAAGCATTTCCCGCAGTCACAATGATTTTCATTTTCCACTTGTACAATACCCCAAGGATACTGGCAAGCTTTGACCATCTTATTTTCAACTTGTATCTCATCCATACTTCCTACAACAGCAAATGGCAAATGTCCATTCGTTGCACCATTGATCTTGGCAGTAGTGTCGTCATCTCTTGGAAACTGATAAATCTGAACACCATTGATGGCCAATTTACTCATAAGTTTCATCTTAAGCTTCTGTAATTCACTTTTAGAAATTGTATCTGCCTTGGCAATTAATGGTATGATGTTCACATTTCTGTCCAGGCTCTTCATGGTTAAGAGGTCAAGTGTCCTTAGAGAATGGCCTGTTGGAGCAATGAAGTAGAGGCACACATGGATACGAGAATCATGGTAGTTAAAAAGAGTACACTTGATCTTCAATTCTTCTTGGAGACAGGCCTCAAATTGATCATCTATGTAATCAACTATTGGTTGGTAGCTCTCTTCTTTATTTATTTGGTCACCAAATCCCACTGTATTTACAATGGTCAGTTTCAAGCGAACATTAATTTCCTGGAGTTCGTATGTCTGAGCTCGAAATCTAACACATGGGCAAAAATGTGAGGATTCAAGTTCTTCAAAATTAGTGTTAAACAGTGTGTTAATCAGTGTTGACTTTCCAATTCCAGTCTCCCCCACACAGAGAATATTAAAACAGAAGCCTTGCTGAATTGATCTATCGACTAGCTGATCAGGTAAACTTTCAAAACCAACATGGCTACACATAGTCAAGGAACGGGTATGTTTTTTTTTCATCCAAAAGAACATAGCCCTGGTGAGATGGTGTGAAACGGAACCAAATGTACATCCCCAGTGGCTTCGCAGAGAGCAGAATGTTTTCTTAAATCTTGCTAAATGTTAATGGACTAAATATTGTTAACTGTGATTCTTATTTGATAACTGTTTTGGTATATATTTTCCTATGTTAAGGTTAAAACTCTTCTTTTTATTTTAGACAGAATAGAGGAGATGATGGGAGATGTCTGTTTCTCTTATTGGTTAATGAATAAAGCAATGTTGTCCAATAGAAAGCAAGATAGGTGGGGCTAGCAGACTAGGAGAAGAGAAGAAGGAGTAGGGAGGAGATCTAATATGGAGGACTGAGAGAGAAGAACACCAGCCCCTCTCTCCGGTAAGATAAGACCACCTGGAAATACTTTGATAATAGAAATGGGTTAATAGTTAAGACACAGCTAGCCTCTAAGAAACATTAGAAATAGTCCAACAGCTTTATATCTAATACAGTGTCTCTGTGCATTAATTGGGGCTGGCACAGGTATGAATCCAGACTGGAGGAAAAACTACTCTAGCACATAAGAGACTGTGAGGTGTTATGAGCAGATAGAACAGACTTTATTTACCAGCCTACAGTTTCCTAAGAGGAAGACACTGGCATGCATGTACCCAGTCTTATATTAGCATGCATGTGCCACACACAGAGGAGCGGATGATGGCTGGAAAGGTCCAAATACAAAAAGTAACACTCATCTGTCCTCAAAATGATGTTTTTATAGAATCATGTAAAACTGGTATCTTGTTGAATAAGATAATATGCTAATATTCTATAACCAGGTGGTGAGGTATTTCCTGGGTAAGACTATTTCTGCCATTCTTAAATTTCTTTAGTTGGCTGTAGCTCTTTGTGTAAGGTTGAGGCATCAATGAAAACAGGGGCGAGGAATTTGAAAATAAGCAAAGAGGGACCTATCAGGTGGCGAAATTTGAAGGAAGGAGACAGTAGAGGAAAATATTCTATTATAATATCAAAAAATAAAAATATTAATAGCATGACAATATTCAGATAATTCTGCAATAAATTTGAGGAAGCCCACAAAAACATAAGTTAAAGATGAGATTCTCATATGCTTCTAATTAAATATTTTATTTTATTATTTAAATTATTTTTAATTTAAATTAGAATTAATGTTATCTTACATATCAATCTCAATTCTCCCTCCCACCAATGTCCCCCACTGAACCCCCCTATAAGCCCCCTAAATTTTCTAGCATCAAAACTTAAGAAATTAGGCTATGTTAATAATTTTAATTTAGGTGAGTTTGTGTATTTAATGTACTAATATCCAATACATACACTGAAAAATATGTATGATTAAATTAACTACAGTAAACAATAAAGAGATAATTTATAAATTTTTATCAATTTTTTCAGCAGGATTTAAATTTGTAACTTAAAAATTTTAATATAAGTTTAATATTTGCTCTCATACTAGGAAAGACAAATTTTAAATCACATTGAACAAATAATAATATATACTTCACATGCAGACAACAATGAAATAAAAAACAAAACTAGTATGACACTATGGCAGGCATACTCCTTCTAACAGAGTGGAAAGGGTACAAAATGAGCTCTAAGAAGAATATGAAAAGATATTGTAAATCACATAATGAAACTTTCAGTAAAAAGATATTTCACATATTTAACAAGGGTAATTCGCTCATAACACTGAAAAATTAGAGGAGGTACAAATAAAGCCTTAAAAATATAATTTCAGTCAAAACCAGTTACAAGCAAATAAATATGAGAAGGCATAAATGAAGCCAAACAATTTTCTCTAGAAGAAATAGAATTACACACACAGTTATACATATGAATGGCAACTGCACAAGCATAAATTAATATTAAATACCCCAAATCAGGGGGAAAACTACATTGTAAAGTCATATTAGAGCCAGGGACAAGAAAATCAAATTGAATGCAATATATAGGAAATGAGTAACAAGACTAATCAAATTCAAGACAACAGGAAATAAGAAAAAATAACTATAATTGGGCAGACAATGACAAGACAATATTGAAAAATAATGTGACTTGGTTTTGCAATTATGGAAATGTAAAATTTAATGAACAAAATGAATTGAAATATAATATAAAATGATGACATACAACTGTAAGTGAATCAAAATAACATGCATTAAGATGGAAACACACATAGAAAACAAGTGTGGCAATGGCTCAATTGAGACAGCTGCACCAAATGGGAGCGAGTGGTTCAATAGAATGCACAAGGGTGAATTCACATTTAACTAAAATAAATCCATAACACACTTTAAAATTACATCTGTATATCATAGGTTGAGTTAAGTCACAAAAATAATAAATGAAAAACAATAAAAACAAAATACAATATTACTTATGCTATGGAGAAATTCTCAAGTACATTTTAAAATATGAAACACAATCAGCCAGAGATAACAAAAGTATTTTATTTAAATATATTTCTGCTGATACACTCAAAACCAAAAGTGTATTGAATGAAATTTAAGCATATGATTCAAAAGATCAATATTCATACATACAAACTCCTTTAAAGAAAGAAAGTTATGATATATAACACAACATGAGATTTTAACATGCAACAATTCATCCAAATTTTACTACCCTAATCAAACAGAGGCATGCATGTTTGTTTGTTGATCTGTATTTGATATTAATTCAGAACATTGACTTTTCCTTTACACTAAGAACCATAAATATAGAAAAAGCAGATGGATTGAAAATGAGGAAGAGAAATGAAGGAAAGAAAAAGGAAGGGGAAAGGGAGATTTTCATTTTATAAATATTTATTGTGGTGTGTGTGTGTGTGTGTGTGTGTGTGTGTGTGTGTGTGTGTGTGTGTGTGTGTGTTGGGGGGCTATGAATACCTTCAAGCTCATGCAATTCAAGTAAGATAACTTTTGGGAGGCAATTCTCTACTGCCCTCTTGAGGGAATCTGGAACCTGGTATTGGATTCAAGTCATCAGGCCTGTACACAAACTGCCTCTGTATATTGAGCATTTGTTGGTCTTAGTATGTAAAAAAAATTTTTTTGAGATAAAACATATCTGATGAATTCTGTGTGAATTTTTGGAGCTCTGTTACACCCATTTCAACTTGCTGCCAACACAGTACTATTTCTGCCCTATCTCACACGTGTGAGAGGATGATGTTGGATATTCTACCTTCTCCCCACAAGATGTTTCTCTTGTATTTTCCTTACCATGTTCTCTGTCTTGCATGGAGTCATGATACTGATACTACCTCTATGCTAGCTATATTTTAAATTTGCACTCTATATTATACATTTTTTGAGTTTTTAAAATCAGCTTTTAGTCATGGGCACTTTGGGTTAGCTACCTCCTGGTAATTGCTGACCTCATGTACAGAATTGCAATTTCTGTGCATAGATGTCATTGAAGTACATTGAGATAGAAACAACACTAAAGAACAAACTAGGGAGAAAGAGAAGTCAATGAACGATTAGAAACAGTAGACACATGGCATACACAGAAGACATTTCTCTTTTATTTTCTATTGACAAGGCCTGTATTATACAAGCCCAGTAAAATTACAACTGCTGTACATTAGTTAATGGAATGGTTGCATCTTACTAGATGACATTTTCAGGCTCTTCTTGTCATCATCTGGCTTACATTCCTTTCACTTCTTCAATGTTCCCCAAGCCTTACAGGGACAAGTATAAATTTCTCATTCAAGGCTGAACTTTCAGCTCTACCTTATCATCTTTGGAAGCCCTGTGTCTCTGAATCAACACTATCCAATTCCAAGAGTGGATACTTTGATTAAGGATGGGGCAATTTTTTTCTACAGGTATAAGTGTACATGCTTGGAAGTCAGTTTGGCACTCTGTTAATTTATCTCAGCAAGTGTAACTCTCATTCAATAGTGGAAGGATAGATCATTGACAAGACTTACATGTTATTAGATATGAGTTTCCTTCTATGAATCAGGTCTCAGATTCAATAAGAAAAAAGCTGATTTTGTTTTGTATTTTATTTTTTTCCAATAATAATTTTATGGCTAATATGCAAGTGGGCTTGTCTTTCTTGGTCCTATTCATCCTCTAGTTCACAGTGAAGGCAATTTACCTCCCAATAGACTGCATAACATCTCCTAGCACATTGAAAGAACACCATGGGGGGGGGGTGTTTCCAATAAACTCCTGACTTTTGGATCAGGCTATTATAACCATGCAGGATATTTCCCTTCTAAGTCTCCTAGATTTTTATGTGTGGTTAATGATAGATGGTTTATTTTTGTGGTACAAACACACACAGACACATACACACACACACACAAACACACACACTGTCTTGGTTTATTTTCCTCCTCACCCCTTTATCTCCTTCATCCCCCCCCCAGAATATCTTCCTGATTAATCCTTTCTATATACAGCATGGCCCTGCCCTAATGTGTCTTCCCCTGCATTCTCCTATTGCATTGCCTAAGTCATAACCTTGCCACATAGTTTTGGTATCCATGCTTCTATACATACTACAACTTAAACACAGGAAACTAGTGTCACAGCTAGGTTGAGAGAGGACACATGTTATTCTTCTTGGCCCTGCTTTACCTCATTAACTATTTTTCCTGTTCTTCAGTTTACCTGAAAATTACATTGTTTTATTTTCCTTAAAGTAGAATAGAGTCCTAGCATGTAAATACAGCATATTTTCATTATCCATTTAGCAGCTATTGGAAATATAGGCTGTTTTCATTTACTAGCCATTTGGCTACAGAGAAGAAATGGACATGAATGTGCAAGTATCTCCACAGTAGGACACAAACTTATTTGTGTTTATGCCCAGCAGTGGTATAGCATGGTTACAAGATAATTCTGTTTCTAGATTATTGGGTGTTAGTCTAGTAATACCAAGACTAATTTCCAAATGACTGCATTAGTGCAAACTCCCTTCAACAGTATATAATTTTCTCCTCTCTACACATGTACAT